GCTTTGTAACCCGACTAAGCAGGAGCATTACACTTTTGGCAGCATGTTTGTCATTGAACCCTGTACTATAAACACATCCACACTGCTCAGGCGTTATTTTCTCTCCTGACATCCGACCATCAAAGATTCGGAAACCAAAAAAACTCTCGTCAATTTGTTGCAATTAGTAACGCCCCAGGAATTGCCTCTAAGTAGATGGGGAAATTTTGTCGGGTCAAGTTCTTGTACTCGATGGATGGAATAAAATTTCACGGTGGCTTGGACCGAGAGTCAATCAACTCAGTTAAGAGAAAAATGAATAGCAAAGTGACCGACCGTCATTTAGGCAGTCAAATGAAATAATTGCAACGCATACTTAAATAATGTTATAATGGTCGAGTTTAAGGCCCTCACAAAAACGAACTACTATAGCAAGTTAAGTTATAAATAGCTGCGTAGGTGCACCACCGTTTAGTTGCATATTTATCTCGTCAAATAAAATTTAACGCTTATTGTTGTAAGAGCTGAAACTATCTCAGGTTCATCTTATAGCCTGACCAATAATGATGAAGGTAAAATTTTTAAATAAGAGCTTTTAGTTAAGTTAAAACATGCAAGGGCCTAAATATTTGATGTTGTGCATAATTTTGAAAGCATCGGAGTCTGATTGGTGGACTTGAGGGTCATATGATCCAGGTCTTAAAGCTTAGTTTTGTCCGGCGCACAAAGATCATTTGTCTTGGGATCTACGATTTAGTTTTCAGGATCCAAGATTTGCTCGATAGTATAATGTGGCACATTATTGTTTTCTTTCCGCTTGTTGGAAACTTAATGATGGAGTAACTTCCACCTCTGTCTTTATTCTGTTTGGTCTAGGCCAGGGCGCTGCAATTCATTGATTAAGAGTTTTGTGTGACCGTTCATTAAGTATCTTCTCCGTGTTCCATTTACTTTGCCAATTGCGATTCATGCTTGTATTATTTGGTTTATCTACCGACGCTTTGGTCGCTGTCCTAGCGTGTAGCTACCTATTTCCACATCTTATTTACGCAGATTCCGTGGGCTACTGTACTCGAAGTCGTTTTGTTAGTTTCATCAACGGTCTAAAATGTGCTACCCCAGTCTGTGTGTTGTTAATTTTACTTTCCTGTGTATTTTATGCTTAATATTTTAGTCAAAGAAAGTTGAACCTGCAAGCACCTTGCCAGAGGACATTTCCGCCTGGTATTCTGGCCACGATCGTTACCTTCTTGAATCCATGCTCATATTTGCTCTACGTCGGAATTTCATGCAGGCGGCTTCTAAAAGTGGGTAATGTCTGAATTTTATTTGTAGAATGCGGCAAGATGCATCGTAACAGTTTTGTTACCTTACCCAACCTATCGGTTTTACTCGTTTTGAGGCCTTGGTGTCAGTGCTTAATTAGAAAATGTGATCGCATTAAAACTCTCCGCCTCTCCAGACCATTATTGCTTAAAACTTCATCAAACGTTTTCATTGCTCCCACAACCCTTTACCTACGTCAGGCGCAATCATTTCCACTTTTATTTGTAGAATTGATAGGGCTTTTCAACTGTTAAGCTCTCCCTATTATGAGCTGCATCGAGTTGTCATTACCTTGATTATTTACGATACGCATTTGATATTGTTCCCGAATAAGGATATTGCCCATGTTGGTGTCTTGTTACCTTTAAGTTTTATTTTCAAAACGTAGCTTTAGAAGAACGGATTTTATAATCGATGCTCACGATTCTGGTTCTTTGGCATTTGGGTAAGTGTTGAGGGCTGTTTAAAGACTTACATAAATTTATCAAAGTGTAGCCACGCTCTGTCAGTGGCCATTATACGGAATTCTAGGTGGAGGGCTCCGAGCCTTGAGAAAGTGTTTCCAAATCTGTAATAAATATCCAATGCTTTTTCCTCTACGCTACAGTTTGCGAATTTTGCTCGTCTCTAATCAGGCCTCGTTGGACCTTCGATGAATCATGTGTTTTATTCATCGTTCAGGCCATGGTAAGGGATGTGAGCAGGAGTCGAATGCATATCACCGTCAATGAGAGGAGTTATAAGATCGTAAGCATGGCTAGGTGATCGCCATCAGGATAATGATAGATCCCTGGTATAGCAGTTTAGGTTTACGTTACCTTCCTCTTGTGCTCAAAGTCCGCGTGCCATTTCATCCAAGATCATCTATGACCGGCTGTCTAATCTCTGCTTTGTCGAAGGGGTTCTGGTCTTGAGAACGCTGCTGAAAGCTCTTTCCTGATTGCAGTTGTCTAGTTGTCGTTTTAATGTTTTTGCTGAATTAAATTTAGTAGCAATATTTTTCAGTTGCATCGGTGATGCGACAGGGTGGTTTGCAGCCCTCCAGCATGACATTGTGGTGCCTCAACGCGCAATCCTCTCGTCTTCACAATCTTGCCAAACAATGCTGCACTACTTCCGCGGATTCTGAACTTGTGCGCATATTGGAGGAACTATCGGAAGCCGCTGAGGCTCTGGTTACTGCTGTGGGATGTGAGAGTCCTTTTCGGTCTCCCCTCCTCCGCTACAAGCTCGACGTGGACAAACTTGTAAGTGTTGCTGTATCACTCAGATAATTGTGCATTACTTTTACTGGGGTAGTGTCTATCATCGTTTTCCCTTTTAATTTTTGTCAAATTTTCCTCTTCAGCCATAACTTCAGTTGTCCTCAATGGACACCTTCACTCAGAGGCATTTAAATTTGGTGATCAACCTACAAAAATAGGAAACCTGTTCACATGAGTTGTGTAGGCTTACTGCTGCCGAAAAGGCAGTTCCACTTGCTCTCTGTGCTGATGCAATAAAGTTTTCATTACCAGTCTGGAAGCACAAAACGAGACAAGCGTAAGTCGCTGTGATGAGTGATGACCGAGGTCTACGGACACCGCAGAGCGAATTGGGGAACTTTTTCGTCTGTTCATAATCTCTGCTTACCAAATGATTTTTCTTTTTTGGCAATTTCAGCTCATGTTTCTCTACCTTGAATCGCCCAAGGAGGATCAATTTCCTCACCTAGTATGTAAATTAAACCAAAAATTTCCTCCGCACTCCAAAGTTCGTACTCTCTTTTGTTGTTCCATACTCTTGTCTCTCTTGTGACTACTTTAACTCGCCCATGACTGTCTGCAGGACAGGGAAATCCAGTCATTTCGCAGTGACTATGCGAGATTGCTAACATCGGCAGGCGAAGCCGAGAGCTACATTGCCAATGTTTGGTCATCTAACCGGGAAACAGCCTTTGCGGTTCTCTTTGCTGACGCCCAAGTCGTGGCTAGTCACCTCCCCTACACCTTCTTCGATCAGGTACAGTGGATTTTGAGTTGGATTAAATGACGTCTGCTTCTTTGATGCCTTGAATGAAGTTGTTATCATCCACCAGGTTGGAACACGCCATCATGAATTATTTGTGCAAGCGGTGAAGAAAACGCAGACCGGATTCGGTCAAGTTGTGCTTTCGGTGTTAGCCGATGCGAAAGAGGAGCTCACCGAATCAAAGCTTACTCAAATTGCGGACGCTTTGAGGTCCCCTTGATTTTAAAGCTCAGCAAGAAAGTCGCCATTTTGCACATTGATTTGGTTCTCTTTGTGAATCCTGTTTGTGGGTCGAGGCGGTGTTTTGGAGGAGCGCGTTGTCCGTCTGGTGAAGTAGCTGCCATTCAGGAAACCACCCGATTGCATGCCTTGGGATTGTTCATATCCAGGTGGAAATGGGAGAGCCATTCATCCTCTCACTTGTGACGTCTCAAGTCTCTAGAGGTGTCGAAGAGGTTAGTCCTGCCGTGCGGACGAACAACTTGGTGAACAGCCGTCTTGGAGTCGCCAAAGGCCGTCCAGACTGTTTGCAGTGGCTAGGGTACTGATTTCATTTCGATATGACATTCATTCGTCGAACGCACTTTTGTAGAGTTTCATGATGACCACCTCTTTTGTTTATAAACAATTAAATCACACGCCTGATTGCAATAGGAGTCGATTTTGAAGGTGACATTAGCATACCCCTGAATGAGGCAATCAGTTGATGGGCTCGGGAGACACTGAATAGTCTCGAATCTCTAGGAGCGACTTGGTACTTTGTTCCAAAAAAATCGCTTTCTTATCGTACTTGGGAGAAAAACAGTCAAACATTCTTCCTATACCGATTGGTTCCTTTTGCATCGTGCATCCTTTGGACGGCGAAAAGTTGGAGGAAAAGCTTCAAAACTGCAGCAGTTATTTCAAGACGGAAGAGAGTAGTAAGGAAAAAGTATTTTGTCAATTCATTTTGAATGCATTGCAAATCATTCGTGGGATTTGTGCCTAAACATGACACTAAAAGGTTCAAAATGTCTTGTCAGACTACGTCACCCTGTCTGGGACGCTAAGCTTATGGGGATTAAAATCTCGGTTCGGAAGAAACTACCTCCACACCAGTTGTCAACTCTTGACGAGGTCTCTTCTCCCTTCCATCAACTTAGCCTGTGGATTTGTGGCAGGAGTAGTGGTAACGGTGATGTCAACTCGTCACAAATGTCAACGCAGGATGTGTGTGTGTGTGTCTGTCCATGAGACAGTCCGCCCCATGGCCAGAGGGTGGGTGGGTTGTGTGTGCCAAATGCACAGACAGGTACTGCCGCCTAGTGCCTCCTTTGTGACAAGTCGACTCACACTCTTAGTGATTCAGCACACCCAGTTCTTGTAATACCGCGTGTCCGGTCAAGCTGCAGATCGCGTCCATGTTTATTATCCGTCCAAATGGTCGTGCTCCAAGAAAATTTTGGCTTGGATAACTGGCTGATCATATTTGTATGATCTCGAACAACTAACCTGGAGAACCACTCTCCACGACAATCTAATCGGACTCAATATCAAGCTCTAAGTAATGGTACACTATAACTCATCGTTTAGCTTTCGATGGCAAAAAATTGGCGATGAAAGTGTCCAAACATCGTTTGGTTGTTATTTGCGGGAGCTGATTATGGTGGGCTTTTATTGTGAGCACATTGGCTAAGCCGCCAATTGTAGTCGAGCTAACCAATCAGGTAATAGGATTGTTTGTTGAATCAAGAGGCATTTGAGTGCCTTGATCTTCCTTATATGCCTCCCAAGTCCACTAACCCCTCCTTCTTTGCACCTTCCAGTGGTGTAAAGATGTAATTCAACTTTAGCCTTTACCACGAAATAAAGGCCTACATTTTTGAGCGGTCTTTGCTAGTTGACCTCGGCTCTTGAAAGCTCTCGTTTCCAAATGTACGGAGGTTAAGTATTTGTGTTAATGAAAGCCAGAGAAGCAATTGGAGACCTCACTTCAGAGCTTAAGGATGGTCTCCAACCTAAAGCTGAACGGCTAGCTTTAATGTTTGTCTGAGTACTGCTGCATTAGTTCTAAGGTTTTTGAAAAGCGGGATCGTAGTTTTCTCGTTTTCTTCCGGATGCTCCGTCAGTTACTAAAGACTTAACAATTTACTGCTTCTCTCCCCTCGAATTTCTTCCAAATAGATTTTGCTGCTGCCTCTCGTATCAGCCGATGTCCTCAGAGATGTCACCCGGCCCATAAGCCTTCAACATCGTTAGTCTCACAAGCTTCCAGTACGTGGAGGAGGGGCCACGCCTAGTGATGCTCTGTTGTAGGAGCGCGGAAAAGGTGTGTGCGTGTATACACACACGATCAAAATACTCGCCCCCATGCGGTCCTCTGATTGGTTATAGGGGGTCACCGCCCATCTAACGCGGGTGAAAGGTAGGCAAGCAGGCAGGCAGCAGTAGGAAAAGCAGGAGGTGGAGACGGAAGAGGCACGCGTATCCAGCCCAATTGTGTGTGTGGGTTGGCTTAGCAACAAACACTAGGGGCTATGCTCACGCCTACCCGCAGATAAACTCAAACTTATTCCTCGCCTCCTGTGGGCTTAGCGTTTATTTAATCACCTTTAGCCTATCCCCAAGTCATACATTACACCCCCAGTGCTTTACCAATGTGCTGCTGTGGCACGCTGTGCCGCGCTGTGCTGTGTGACCTAGGCAGTGGCCAATCAAGGGACGATACCGTGCACCGCAGTGCCACCTACCTTTCACTCTGACCACCGTGCATCATCACTTACCGGCAAGGGGCTCCGCACTGTTCGGCCAAATCAGGTCGTCGCAGCAGCAGTGTCAACACTGCCAACGTCAGTGCACTGTTAGGGGCAAATGTAGGGCCGCGATCGTAAATATGTGACACATGCTTTTTAGCCGTCCAACTATTACTTGCATCGAATCATATTGTGTGAGCCATAAAATAAACACGACGTGTTTGCATTTGTGAGTATTAGCATTCCTTGGATGTGGACGATATAGTTAAGGAAATTTGGTAGCAGGTTAATGGACGAGACTCTGACCTCGGATGCATTGAGTGCTGTGATGATTCAGCTAAAACTCTGTCGATGTCTAAACTGTGATATTATCTTTTACGGGTAAAAATCTCAGGACTAGCAAAAAATCACCTCGAGATCCTTCATGCACAAGGACTGCGGTTCGTACCTTCCTGAATTACTCCTCTTTACTAGTTAGCATTGGTTTGCCCTTGACTATCGGGGGGGTGCGTAGAATTGATGTCCGTGAACCATATCCGAGCCTTTTGAGCTATGAAAATACTACTGAAGTATCTGTTCATCGTCTGTCCAAAGATGAATATTTCTTCTCCACTTTTGCAATGATAATTTGAATCCGCATGCATAAAGACACAAATAAGTGTTTTGTCAGTTAAACTGCTTGTGTCACAATTACTTGTTAGCGGACAGACAACTAAACTGTGAAAGGTTGAATGCTTAAAGGATTCATCCAACCAAAATTTCGTGAGACAGGGACAAAAGGATCGCGGTGCTCTGGGTGCCTAGGCACTGTTGTACAAGCACGCCGATGGATTTTTCTAGTCAGTCGAATATCTGCTAGGTGAAAAAAATCAGCATGGCTGGGTGGTGGTGGTGATGGGGTCCGCTCTTTTGTCGTCCTTCGGCGGTCACTGATTGATTGGCTAATCAGACTAGCCAATCACTTTTTAGTAAAATTTATTGAAGGATGGTATTCCTGTTGGAAAGTAGTTTACTGTATATTTGGATACTTTTATTGCTAAAAAAGTCAAATGCTAAGTTGTTGACTTGTTCCTGCAAAAGCTGATTGCAATTCTGCAGCTATGCTTATCTCTCAGGCAAATAAGTCAACATAGCCGACGTGTATCGTTATTCTATGCCACCAATTAGCACTTTTTCCGGTCTCTCAAATCGTATTGGTTTAAAATCAACCAATACGTGTAACCATAGAAATAATGAGGCGAATGACAACACATGCCACACATGTGTGACGCCAAATGTGCCTCGTGTAGTGGACGAACGGAAAGTTGAGCCTTATTAGCCTCCAAAAAGATTATCTTGTCAAGTTAGCCTAGGATCACAGCATTTGTTGCATTTGAATTGGTTTAATGCCGTCGCAGATGCTCCAACAAATCACCGGTGGAACTGTTATGTGCTCTTACGGCATAGCAGTTGTCTAAAACTTGTAAAGGGCATAAAATGCACTTAAATGAGCTCGAGAGATCACAAATGATAGCAAATAAATTTACTCCCCGGACATCTCAGCTAGTAGAACCCAAAATACGGCGAAGGTGAATGCCATGTGACCACTTTAGTCCCAAGATGAGAGTTAGTTTAACGGTAGGAAACTTGTGCAGGATTGGTACTCCGTTTCTGAGAGTATGAGCGTCCCGGAGGAGCAAATTTACTCTCTCCTTCTTCCCCTCCTCCCCAAGAAGGTCCGTACACTAGGAAAGTGAAGGCATGGTAGAGTCCGTGGTAATGTGATCGACGTCCAGTTGTCTATATCCTCGAATTTGAGAAATGGATGTGATATGGGGAAACTTAACAACTGTAAGAAATTCAAAGTCCAGCAGAAGGGGTGCCAGACCAATGACTTGGCAGTAGATAACAGATGGGCTTAGACGCAAGCACCCAGACATTTAGCTTGGCCTGAGTCGATTGGCTAGCATGCAGAACAAAACCTTCGTTGTGCCAATTATCGCAACAAAGAATTTCACATTTAGCTCCGTTTATTTAACTTTAATAATTGACTTTAAGCAGCTTTTTACGGAAGGCAAAAGTGACCATCTGACACCATAGATCAACCCGATCCGTCCAAAGAGCAACAGCATCCTCGAAATCCGATAATAATCACAATTGACCCACTTCATCACGATCTATTTTGAAGGCAACAAAGTTAAGATAGACTGTGCTAACAGTCGCTCTACCCCTCCTTCACAGTGAGAATCCCAGAACAAATAGATTCTTTTTTTACTGTAATCTAAGACTGAGCTGTCCCCAAAAAAACTGCCCTTCAAAGTGGTAATCGGTAAGACCACTCGCCGCCGCAAATTTACGCCAACGCCAACCACCGGGACCGCCCGCACTGAAGTCGCCCACTCAGATTGAAGCAGGCGGGCAGCCAAGTGAACCAATCAAATCGGGTCTGGAGGTAGACAGTCGCCAAGGCGAATTTCTCAGGGGCTAGCAGCTATTGATCGATGGGGGATTTACTGTACCAAGACGTTGTGGGACGCCGACACTTTCCACCAAAGTACAGAGCGAACCTTCGTTTTGGGGCGAGTGAGGGGTGAAGGGGGCGGGAGGAAATGGAGGCGGGTGGGTGTGTGTGTGAATCAGAGCACTGGTACGCAAAGAAAAATTGCCCAATTCGAGTTTAGTTAAAATGATGGCTTAGTAAGGCGTGTAAATTGCTTCGCCCTATCTCAATCACTTCCGTAAATTACGCCTTCACGTACTTTAATGTTGCTTTTAAATTAAAATGATCAAAATAAAGCAGTCTACAGGTATTAGTCTTCCAAGCTTTTTATTGATGTAAATACATTATGGCAAAGGTGACGTATAATGCATTCGGTGTATCACAAGTGCCCCATCACAACTGACCGTGAAATGTCTGTGTAAGCGTTGCTAACGGCAACGATAACACAAATCCAGTTGAAAGGTTTTCCAATCCTCCTGGAGGCAAATTGTCTGTATCACCTTCACTTAAAGCGTGTTAATTATCTCACCACTTAAGTTGGGAGGATGGAGACTAGAGACGCTGCTAAGACAGCAAGTGACCGCCTGGTGGAGGAAATGACCACTCCGCCTTCTTGATAGTACGATACTTGTCAAGAGGGAAAATGACTACCCATCTCTGACAGCAAATGCCAGTGGTTGGTCCATTGGCAGATTCAGTAACAGCGCTCAGCCTCTTAAATTGTCATTCGGGTTAAGGCCTCCTAAATTTCCTTCCTTCTTCCTTCCTCGTGGTCATGCTTGCAGCCAGGTGGACGTCAATTGCTGCCCATCACCAAAACCCAACTGTATGACTGGCTCGGAACTTTTAAATACCCTTGTGGAAAGGGGATTCTTTAGTCCCAGCGCTTGACAGAAGACCGTTTCTCTATCTTGGTAATAATTTACAGGGCTGCACAGTTACCCCTCTTCACCCATCCCTGCCCTTCTTCCTTCACCTCCACCCTTGCCAGATGACAACTCTCACACCAAGCAGCAAAGGCATCTCCACTTGACCAGACAGAGGCAGTCACATGGCACACTCCGCCATGACCAATTACCTACTCCGTCTTTTATCTCCATTGTTTCTACGGTAATGCAAAAAATCTGGAACCCTTTCCTCCTATCCTGCATGGTTGCTGTTTCCACTGACATAACAACGCCAACATTTCAGGCTGCCACTCATCACCTTCTAACGGTAGCGCATTGCCTTCATTTTACATTAAATTTAGAGAATGCAAATTCGCATTCTTTGCCACCTCAGTAGACCTGAAATAATGGGGGTATTTTAGAGTCAACGTATCAGCACCACGAAATAGTGTCTGCCATACCCTCCCAGCGATATCAACTGTCAGCGCCCACCTCAACCTGGGATTTTAAAGCTAGCATCCAATTCTCAAACCTTTCTGCAGTGGCCAAATTTCGTTTTAGACAACCTTTTTCGAAAAGCTGTAAAGCCTGACATTGTAAGTCGCCACCTCGATCAGAAGTCAACCAACTTGTGGTAAAGGTGACCGACATGAAATTCGCAAATCGATCAACCAATCGGAGCGTTCGACCAATCACATTTGAGAATCGGGAGAATTGACAAAATCTTCATGACCACACCATCTGTCCGGAAGATTTTAGACCGATTTTAGTTTCCCACCTTCTCATTACACACGCATACACAGACGTGTATATAAATAGTGTTTTGACTCACGCACACCTAACCAAAGTACGTGCTTGCGACAACGCCCATACACAGGGCGGGTATTTCCACGTAGCCAATCAGACTCTTGCCTGAGGCGTGTGCAGGCGCGCAATCGATCGAACCCACGGCGTGGCCGTGGCACAGGTGTTGCCACTAGCAACCCGGTGAGTGCTGTTAGCGCACGCAATTCCTGTTTGAATGTGCAAGTTAGCAAGAACGAGAGAGCTCATATGCGGGTCAACAGAGCATCACAGCTGGTTCTCTCAAAACGCATCCTAAAATCGCTCTACCCCAGCCACTGAACGTAATTCTACTATTGAAGGAGCTTTTGAGGGGTCTAAATTTGCTCCAAAATGAAAGTATTAGGTTAAGGGTTGGTCATGCAGTGATTAAGGGCCCAAAAAAGGAGCGACTCCCTGCCAAACAGCGGGCCGACTTAAGATGTTAGAACCTACTAAGAAAATATATTTCTTTGTTCCAGTTGATGATTGGGTCAACATTTTCCCACATGACATTTTCCCGAGACACATCAGTCTGCTCAGCTTAGACGTTTCATCATATCGAATTACCGACATTTACACGACCGATCTGACTCGCTGTTGCCTGCATTAAGCTCATTGGCAGACTTTAGAACGGCACCAGACCTGGTAATAAGGTGGCATAACATGTGCGTACCTCCCGGCCATCAAGCTCTGCACCCTCGAGGTCGCAAGTAAGGGCAGTAGATAACGACCCGATCCATTGTTTTTTTGCGAAAAACGATAGCTCGAAGCTAGGAACGCGACACCTATTAACATTCTCACCCATCCTGCCCATGAATGCGTTGAAAGGATGGGAAGTCCCGGCCGCCATGGCTGGGAGCAGTAGCTACTGTGTGTAGAAGCCAAGGTCTGGAGCCTAAATCGATTCCATTTCAGTGGTCTCCACGCTTGTGGTCCAATCATAACCCGGTTTTTTCGCTTGAGCTGAAGTCATGTGTCGCGGTCTCAGCAGCTGCCCCACATATGAAGTGCGTGCATGTGTGTACAGGTGTGTGTGAATGCACGCACACGCGTGCACGACTAACCCTCAGTTCAATCGATTGGTATGCCATGGCTATGAAAGGGTAGAGGGTGGAACCGGGGTTGGGAGGTGGGGAAGGGTGGAGTCCTCCCAGGTCATTGTAGAGCGCCGCTTTGGCGTGCCTCAATGCACATGCAATGTGAAAACTTTTCTGCACTAAAGATTTGACTATTGGCATCGAAACACAAAAGTGGCCTAGTAGCTTAGGCCATGAGGTTGTGTCGACTCATGTGTTAGATCGAAGGCGATTCGGATCGCGTAAAGCGTCCAAATGCATACGCACGAGAGGGGTTTAGCAATTCTCCCTTGCACCCTCAACACACTGAACCGATCCAAGATGTAGGTGGTGAGGATGGGCTATCTGAGAAACACCGAAAGCCCGACCCAGCCAAATTCGATCGCGCACAGTAACCAAGGCGGTGGCAACCCGTTGGTCCAGAGATGGTTAGCCAATCAGAGGGTCAGCTAGAGGCTGCTCGTCTTGGTGGCAGTGTGAAATGGAGAGCTAGCTAGCTAGCGAGCGCGCGCCAAAAGACGCGGTCCTCGTTTGGGTGCACACGTGCGTTCGCGCATGTGCGTGCGTGAGTGTGTGTCTATCTCACGCAATTACGAGAGGCGCGCATGCGCATATACGCACGCGCGTGCTTTGACCCACTACAAGGTCGCGCACTGATTGGCGGTGACCTGCAAGCGCAGGGAAGGACAACTCGTTGGCGGCGCACACAGCCTAGCCGCCTCATTTGACGAATCTAAAACGCGTCGAGAGAGCCGCGTTGTCTATTTCTCTGGCAGTTATTATGCTCGACGCTTTGACCAAGGAGGGCGTCGTGACAGTTACATCACCATCTCTAGCTCCCATCACCTCTTTATCTGCGGACACTCCTAAGCCACTGAAGAGGGTCAAAATGGACACTGACGAGGAAGAGGAATTAGTCGTTGTCGAGCCCACTGATCCCGACGAAGATCGTCTTCGTGAGGCAACTCTTCAAGCTCAACAGGAGGCCGCGGCAGTTGTAGCAGTTCAGGCTGTTTCGGAACCGGTCCCCCATCCCCCTCCACCATCACCACCCTTTCCTCCTCCTTCTGAACGCATGGATTCCAATAAAAATATGGTCACTACTGATCCAATATTGCTCAGTCAAATCATTCAAGCATTGAACACGAAGCCGAACAGTCAGACTGTAGAAGGTGTTCAGCAAACCCCGAGGTTTCTGGTCACTTCCTCCAACAACGTTCTAACCTTTCAGCCCTCCCCAACTCCCATTCCTCCTCAGACGTCTTTCATGGTTCAACCACTGAGTGGCTTTCAGGCAGCCAGACTTCTAAATCTCACACCCGCTACTCCTCCCCCCCCTCCTCCTCCTCCTCCACCTCCACCACCACCACCTCCAGCACCGATCTCAAACACGGGTTTGCAAAGTCTTCTTTCAACTGATCCGCTGCTCTATGGAATCTTCGTGAATTGTGCTACTTCAAATATGATAACCCAACTGGCAAATTCCATCTCGGCGTCAATGATATCCTTCGCCCAGTTGGTGGCAATCGACAAGAATATCAATCTGAACAGCCAAATAGCCGAGATTACGCAACTCATTTCGGCTCTCATCAACTTGGCCACCTCGTTGTCAAACACGCTGCCAGGTTTGATGTCTTTGAGGGGAGCTGTGAATCCCACACCAGCAGTCTGCACGCCCCAAACCAACCCAATTCTCACGAGTCTTATTTCTGCTTCCTCGGCCACACCTTCGTCACCACAGTACACATGCACTCCTTCCACACTGGCCGGGAATTCAGCGTCCAAGTCTGTGCTTCCCCCACCCAACGTGGTCTGTCCCCAGCCCTGTCCTCCCATCCAGGTGAAACCGGAGCAACCCACTTCATTAACAAGTGGTAAACAGAGTCCGCCGGTTGCTGGTTTGGTGACAAGGTCTGGCACAGTTCTAACGTCGGTGAAGACAGTCCCTCGTCCAAAGCGCTTCATATGCACACATTCCGGCTGTACTCGGGCTTTCGCCTCGAGATTCAACCTCGTTGAACACATCCGTATCCATACTGGAGAAAGACCGTTCGTGTGTCCAGAACCCGGCTGCACTTCGAGGTTCAAGAGGCGTCGCGATCTTTACGAGCATTCCACAATGCACAAGAAACTCACCTCCCATTCCGGAAAAGGGCTCCTCGTGACCTCTGTTCTCCCGGACAGAGAGAAGAGTATGAAGAGTGGTGAAGACAGTCGGAGACCACGTCACTTTTGTCCTTTCGCTAATTGTCAACGCTCTTATGCTCGTAGACATCGTCTCAATCAGCACATGTGTCTTCACACTGGTGTTGGACCCTTCTATTGTGATCAACCGAACTGTCATGTGCGGTATTTCAATTCTGATGATCTTGAGCGTCATAAACTCGTCCACCTCCTACCGGCTAGCAGTGACCCTGCGAAAAAACATATCTGTCCACACGAAAACTGCGGAAAGGCCTACTCGAAACTAAACAAACTGCGGGAGCACGTTAGATCACACACCGGCGAAAGGCCGTTCGTTTGTGAACAGGATGGATGTGGTGCTTCATTCAGTCGACCTTATGGCCTCAAACGCCACCAACTGACCCACACAACGGTGACAACATCCGCTGACATTGTGGCAAAATCGGAGGCTCAAAATTCGCACCAGCCTTCAGCACCCAAAGTGACAAACCTGGTCACATCCATACCAGCCACCAGAACACTAACGGCGGTGTTCTCTCAACCTCCGACACTCATTTCCAGGGTGTCTCCCACTCCGCAGCCCACAATTCTCAACCTCGTCCATGCCCTAACTTCTTCAGGCGTTCAGTTGCAACCAATGGTAACAACCGCACCAAGCGAAGAAGCTCCTCAAGTTCCTCTGAACGTCACAATCAAAGCCGATCCCGATCCCACACCTGTTTCCACGGTCACTTCCACCCCTCCCAACGTTACAATCACCTCAGTGGCATCGACTTCAACAAATAAGCTACCTCTTGTTCAACGCTCCAGTAAGGCAGCCGCTACACCCTCTGCATCAGCGCTGGCCGAGAAGGCAATAGTGATCTCAGGGCCCTTTGGAAAGCGACGACACATCTGTCCCATGCCTGGCTGCACCAAAATCTTCCCTAAGTTGAATAAGTTGCGAGAACACATCTGTCGACATACCGGCGAAAGGCCGTACGCCTGTGATGAGTGTCCTGCCACCTTTGTTAGAATGTACGATCTTCGTCGACACGCCCTCATTCACACTCGTAGACGAATGGGAATCCTCAATAACGGCGTTTGATCAACTGTGATCCCCTCTTCCGCTCTCCCTCTTTTTCTCTCATTTCCATGTTGTTTAGTTGTTTAGTTCTCCCTTCTCCTTTGTCTTCTCCAACTCCACTTTTTCCTTCTCCTTCAGCTTTGGTTGCTCTCCCTCCTCCTCTCCTTGTGGCGGAAAGTGTGTATAGAATGGGATAGAGGGTTCCCCTGTGTGTTCCCGTCTCCCACAATCACACACACACACACACATACACGTGTGTGTGTGTGCGTGAAATGTACGCTCATACACATGCACGTCTACACACCTCCATGTATTTATGCATGTACATTTCCAATCAAGTAAATCACTGGCTGTGCCTCCACTTCAATTCCTTGACGCTTCTGACATGGTTTCCACTTGCAGTGTTGGTGACTACAAATAGCGCAGGTATATGCTAATCTCTGTTGCGCCAAAAGTTCAAGGCGCCAAGTGATGGTGGTAATGATGATGATGTTGATGGTGAGTCATCATAGGCATGGAACTCTGCTAATTATCATATTGTGTCTTCCTTAACTGCTGTGATGAATGCACAGGATACAAGTGATCTGTCAATGTGTCACGCTCTTTTCTGTAGCCACGGCGTAAACAAATCTCACCGGTCGCGTGACTGCCAAGCGTGACCTGCCTTGATGTTGGGTGGTCTTTAGTGTTGTAGGCAGTCGAAGTCAAGGTTGAACTCAAGCGCGACAGTTTTAGTGACGTCGTTGGGGCTCTTGCAGACGGTCTTAATCGAATGGGGGGGGATGGTTGGACGCTACCCTCCTCCTCCCCCTTCCCCTCCCCCTCCTCTTCATACAAGCTTTCTTATTCATCTCATGTTGTTTAGTCTTCTGCAAACAGTCGGCCAAACGGTGTCACCCTTCCCTGACCTGTGCTATCCACTGAATTTATTGAATGCGTAAAGGAAGTCTGGGGAACAAGCGAATCCTGTTAGAGTTAAATATGCGAGATCGGGAGGTTCCAATTTTAGTCAACGAGCCTAATTGTCCTCTGCCTGCTTTCATCCGGCGGATGCGACACTAATTAGTGCTACCAGGCACATCAAAGCGCCAGTTAAAGTGGTGATATCTTGCCAATTTATTGCCTAGCGGGCCAAGTCACTCCTGAAAGGGAAATAAAGTACACCATTTGAGCGGAAGTCCATTATTCGTGTGCAGGTATGCGAGGTCACAGATTGGGGCGAGAAGGTCTTGCAGTGTCTGTGTTGTATGGCAAGACCCTTGCGGTCTCCTCTTGACACCTTCAATTTTTGCCTCCCACCACCTGTCTGATGCGGGAAGAGGTGGGATAGATGCCTCCTCTGCGTTTCCAGAATTGACTCATCGCTGGAGGGAAGGTGGAAGCGGCGACAGAAGAGTGGTCGAGTCACCATCTTACGTGTCCCCAAGCGATGACTAACGGTTTTCGTGGGGCTAGGGTGCCCCGGTACCGTTAGCACATTCGACTCAGTGCAGAAGTCGGAATTGCTTTCCGTTTGTGGTTAACGCGACCATTTGCCGTGGTAATGCCTCCACCTTCTGCCCCAGTGATAGTCCTTTTCATAGACTTCGTAGATGCTGGTCTTTTTCTTTTATCTATCCGTTTTCCTAAAATGTGATCTCCCCTCTGCTGACCCCACAAAGCAGAGGTTGCGGGGATGACATCTTGAGGACATTAGGCGCCCCAGCCTCACCTCCACTCCGCCAATAAAAAGGAGGCCCACTGCGAGTTTAGCTGGCAAATAAGGAGACAACATTTAAATTGAGGAAGTTGACTTGTGACAGCCCTTCTGTTCAATCAAAAGGAATTGTCTTACTACCACCTTCCACCTCTTTCTTGGTGGTCAAAGACTCGGAGAGTTGAAATTGCGGACCAGAACCAAATTAACCAGCACAGATTTTACGTTATTATTATTTTTTTCAAAGGTCAAAAATGATGAAATTAACCTCTCATTGCATGGCATTCCACTGTTTCAAACACAACGAATTCGATTATAACGAGACTTGGTGCTGACATCGCCAACTGTCGCATACTTGTGACGTCAGACTTGGATCAGATGATTGAGAGGTCACATCACAGTGACACTGGCAATGAAGGCATCAGATGTCGCTATGATCGACAACTATTACTCCAATGTTAAACTGCAAACATTTAAATGATTGTTTTAACCTTAAAATGTGAACACCCAGCGATCCACCAATCAGATGTCGAGACGCTGTGAACCCTCCTAGCCCATGCATTCCAAGTAGATTGTTTTATGATCGCAATGGGAAATACATTAGATTGCTTTTCTACCACTTTAAGTTCTAAAATTTCCTTTTTTATAAAACATTTTTCTTCAAGTCTCCGATTTTTATCTGGTGGATGGTGTTAGATGAAGGTGCGGAGCAATTGTGTGGTGCGGCCCCTTTCCATACTTTTATCCACTCCAAGACCGTCTTCAAGGGAGAGGGAGAGAATTTTATTTTTGTTCTTTTTTTATTGCATACGTGTCATTTAAGAAGGATTAGTACCGTCTACACCGAATACATCCTGGAATGCAAATATTTTCCTTCCGGTGCATCCATCAAGGGCGAGTGGACTGTCAGGTGGAGTTGATCCCTTGACAAGGTCCGACATTACTGCTTTTGAGGTGGAGGAGGGAAGCCAGATCATGCCTATTAACCAGGCATATTACGAGAAGGCCTACCGATTGCCCTTTCACTTAGACGTTGACCTTTTCTCCTCCTCCTCCCCCCCCTCTCATTCCTTAAGGTCATCCCTCTGTAATAGCTGCTGACCGCGGGTCTCGAGTTTACACCTCTTTTCAGAAGAGATACAAATCCGCATCTCTGCCATGTTAACACCTCTTTTTGAAGGACAAGACGCGGTCCGGACACCCTCGTACCTTTCAGGACAACAAATTTACCACAGAGCCTGAGAAGCAGTGGGTTGAGAGGAGAACGGATGATGGTGTGGGCAGAGGACGGCGCTGTTCCGTTTTTGCTACTTCTGCTGCGCAACACCAAGGGTTAGAGTGAGAGAGCGAGAGAGAGAGAAGGCGGGTAGACGGACAGGCAAGTGGACGGGCGGGCGGGCGGGCGGGCGGGGGCTACCGGCAATGGAGTGACTCACCCCCTTCATCCCCAAAGGCCTCGCCCACAGCCCACACACTCTAGTCATCACAGTTAGCAGCAGCAAAGACAGCTGTAAAAGCAACAGAAAATGCGACACACTAACATCACAGTGTTGGCTGCAATTACCCCGCCTTACCTTCTTTACCGCTCCCTCCTCCTCCTCCTCGAATGGCTTTTGCTTAGACACTCACCAACCGCGGAATATGCGGTGAACCTGTGTGAAGAGGTAACACTGCAATGCTTAATGATGACAGAGATGTGCATCAATTAGGTGGTGGATGCGGGACCATCAGGCCTTACAGCGGCATCCACTTCAGAGACCTCTGAAATCGCCTCGTCAGGGCAAAGGGAATGGAAGGGGGATGGAGGAAAGGTGAGAGGAGGGGAGGAGGGGCGAGAGGGGAATCCTTTCGTCATGAGCATGGAATGCGACTCTCTTGTCTGTTCACCTGTCTACCAGCATATTCGCCTTTAAAAGTGTTCAATCACCCACCTGTCAGTCCATCCATCGGATGATCGTCACAAATTAGCACTCACGGTTGAGGCACCTTTTGAACTTAATCTAATTCGCTGACTCTACGTTGCATCGGAATCGAGGGCATCCAAACCGTCTCGCAGATGGCGCCTGTCA